AACTTCACAAGACAAAATATAGGATTTTATTTTTATTTATTCAAATATCTATAAATATTTCTATATTTTCTACTTCTATATTATATTTAAAAAATTAAAGTTTAGATTATTTATGATAATTTAAGTTATAGGTATGTGTGAAAATCTTCTTATATAAATCTTTGAACAATTCACTAATAAAAAATTTAAAGTGGTACTAGATATAATTTGAAATTGATCGAGCAAACAAAGAAAATTAGTTTCTATTACATTTATGAAAAAAAAATATTTGAATCTTCATTAGAATTCATTTCTTGCATATATTAAGGTACTGTTGTAAAGAATATTCCTACAGTAAAAATTGATGTAAGGGGGTTTTCGTTTATTCGGTTCTAAAATAGTTCTAGCTTGCAATACGTTCGAAAATTCACGCTACATGCACTGATAATACAGAACGTAATACAGGCTGTAATCAACTGCGTTCGGAAATTCAATCTATAATAAAGAAACGTCAGAAATGTAGCGCACATCTAATTTAAATTTTGTTGCTGCCTCATGAAATTTGTTTTTGTGTAACATAGATTTCGAGTTAAAAAAATTTTCAACCCTATCATGAATAAAATTCGTAGCCCTGAAATCCAGAGAAATTATGAATATAATAAATTGTTATTTAAAAATACCTATTAGATCAAATATATTTTAAAAATTCGCAATGGAGCAATAATTACAAATTAGGCTTGAATTGCAAATATGTTGATTTCGAAAGTCTGGAAGAAATATTCAAATATTGAACAGAAATATTAAGAAACAGAACGTTTTTCGTTCTTCGTAGATATTTTATCTGCTGTCAAAGAAAATAAATTCATATTAATTGGAAAGTTTTTAACGCCTTTATTGTTTTCTATTATAAAAACAATGTCCTTAATTCAGATAATGTTAATAAATTAATAAACATGTACATTTAAAAAATCAAGCTTAAATGCTACATGTTTAATCAAATTCGTAATTCATTCGGAACTCATAACTGAGCCGAAAAAATATCCAACATCGTTTTAAAATTAAAAAAATGTAAACATTTAGATTCAAGTTTTCCTAAATACTTAAACAAAAATTCATTAATTTTGATTATAGGAAAGGAAGTAAATTAATTATAGTAGTTTAATTCAAAATAGATAATTTTAATTAATTGACTAATAAACTAGTAGATTTTCACACATATTATTTAAAATATTATTTTTTATTAAATCAAGCATCTATAATATAATTAAATACAAAAAACCAAGAAAAACTATTTTTATACAATAAAAATTAAAATTATTTTTCTAATATTTGTTAAAAATCTATACTGTTATAATATATTATTAAAATGAATTGTTAATATTATGGTATTAAATTTAAAACAATAAAAAAAATTACTATATTTATATTAAATTATCATCTAATTATAATTCTAAATAAATAAATAAAAAAAATGTACTTTTAAAGAAATAAATAAATTTTCTAATTTTCTTTTTAGTATTTAAGTATATAACAAATTATAATAATTATTGTACACATACATAATCTATATACAGGGTATTTAAAGTTTGATAGAACTCCCGAATCAGGATTTGTTCCATAACTCCAAATAGGCAAAAAATACCAGGTGATATTTTTGCTTTTTGAATCCTTCTTCTTGAGTTGTGAGGTCTTGAAATTGGAATTTACGAAAATCGTCTAATATCGTTATACATTTTTATTGATAACTCAGGGAATATAACAGATAACCTCAATTTTGTATTCTCATTTTAAATGTCATAAAATTCCACTTCAACGTAGAATTTTAACATCAGTTTTGTCAAAAATTTATTTTAGTTTTAGAGATATTTAAGTGCAAAATCAAAATTTGTCATATTTACTCATAATAAGAAAATGAAGGTTTAAGTCAGTGATACCCAAAGTGGTTTATATAGACTTCCAAGAGATCCATAAAGAACTGCTAGGGGTCTACGAATAAATATATATTTAATTATAATAAGTTTTTTATTTTACTTTCTCACGTCATTGGTGTACCTTGTTACTGTTGGAAATTTATATCTAGTACAAAAGAAAGTAGCAGGGGGTCTATCAAAAATTAAAAAACACGGCAAGGGGTGTACGAAAGAGAAAATTTGGGAATTTTTTTTTAAATACTGACCTTAATTTTGATATTCTCAGACAATACAAAATATTTTCAAATAAAAACAAAATTTTTTGAACCGTTTTTTCTCAAAATTATGCATTAATAATCATTTGACTTTTCTTTGTCACACTTTCATTTCACTACTAAATATTTAGAAAAATTTCGGGAATATCGTGTAAGTACGAGCAAAACTTTACTATTAAATTTGAAAAAAAAATATAAAAAAGCTTTTTCATAACAAGATTATCCAAGTTGGGTGTTGACCATTTTGCATTTTCGAAGAATACAATTAATGACCTTCATGTATAGCTTATATTGAAAATTTTATTTTCTTCTCATTTACGAAAGCATTGTTTGTCCTTAGGAGAACAAAATTAAAATAATAACAAAAATTAATCAAAATTAGTAAAAATACTATTTATAAAAAATTCTTAATAATATGAATTAGAAAATTCTGTATTCTTTATCGAAAGTAAAAAAAAAACACGAACAGGATTCAAAATGAGTACATAAAGTTGGCTTAACCTCTCACATTTTCCGAGTTATCAATTGAAATGTAAAAACTAAACTGTTTTCAGAAATTCCAAATTTGAGAACCTCATAGCTCATGAAACATGGTGCAAGAAAATAAAATGTCACCTGTTGTTTTTTTTATCTTCTAGAGGCATTCTAACACCCTGCTTTCGGAGTTCCATTGAGTCTCAAACACCCTGCATATATATATAACACAAGTATATCTATATATGTATGTATAAATAAAATTTGTAGATAATTTAAAAATTAACATTAAAAATTTAAAAAATAAAATATCATTAGTTAATCGGAACTGAGTTTTAAAAGTTTAATTAAAAAAAAAAACAAAAACACATAAAAAGAGAAAAAATAAACAAAATAAATTGTGAGTGAATTGAAAAATTGTAACTACCAAACAATTGATTATATTTTAAAATATAAAATAATGAAATTATTATACATAAAATATAATTATAGTAAAATTCATTTTAGCTACATTTAATAAGTTGTTAATTAACGTATTTAATAAAACCAAAAAAAAAAAAATAATAACACTTAAAATATTTAAAGTTAAAATATTAAAACAAAAAGAAAAACAAAAAACTTTAATTGGCAAATTTCAAAATGAAGATAATTTAAAAAATAAAATTAAATTGCATATTTATTGTTAGATTTAAATTATATAAAGATTATAATTACATTAAAAATACAACATTAAATTTATTGAATTATTATCAAAAGAAAAAACAAAAAAAAACCGTGTAATTGTTTGATATTTAGAGAAAAAATAAAAAATTTATTAAAGAATAAAAATAAACAAAAAAAAATAAGTTGAAGAAGTTAACAAAGAAAAAAAAAATATAAAATTTGGACTCTTAATTCTTTTTTAATTAAATTTCACAATAGTTTATTCATATTTTATTTTTAAGTCGGTCTTATCGAACTGAATTATTCCCGGCACTCACTGACAATTTAAATATAAAACTTCTTTTCTAGGTATTAAAAATTAGCTATTGGAGTTTTATGGAAGCTATTGGAACCACTACAGCCATTCCATTAAAATTTTCAGAATTTTATGTAAAATGCAATTTTTATTAATTTTGGAAATACCTAAAATATTCTCTTTGAGTTAGTTGTATGGCAGCTACCCGAACTCGTTCTCTGAACTGATCCAATTACAATAAGGTCTGTCCTCGTTAGAACAGAAACATTTTTTGAATGTTTGGTAGTGTTTTGAATTTATGAGTTAATCATTTTTGAGTTTTTTTGCGATCAAACGGACGAACGAACAAACATGTCATATGCATACAGCAAACTACTTCTTCAAGTGGTGTAAAACTCCATATCAAATTTAGTATACCCTTAATGAAGGTGCAGGTTATGAGAACTAATTATCTGTATATGTGACTTCTATATAAAAAACGAATATTCTAACGGTATAGTTATCACTTATAGCAAGTAATTAAATTGTAGATTAGTTTTAAATATGCCGAATTTAACTTAAAATATCTGCTAAATTTCATTAAAATTATCAATATTTGCATTTTTATTCTTTTTGTTCATTTTGTACCTGTTCAGAACTGTTTTTTCTTACCTTATGTCAAGTATATTTTTATGAAGAAAGATAACAGAAAAATATACTTAAAATCAGGCCATAGAATTCATATTAAAAGAAGAAGTACTTCAGAGATTAACAAGAAAACAAATTCAATATAACAGATTAATAGTCTTTGATTTCGAAATAGTAAACTTTACAAAGACCCGATTTTTCAAGGCTTTGAAAATCTATGGCTTAAAACAGAAGAGAATGCAAATGTACTCAAAACTTTATTCTAGAAAAATAAACTGTTCACTAAGATACATATGATTGTCTAAGGAAATTAATTTTTCTGCCTTGAGAGCTTTATAAGAGTTTTGTGCGCGTAAGGACCGACATATTGAAATTCACGGGCCAGAGCTTTTTTTTTCATTTTTCTGGAAATATGCGTCAAATAAGCTTGGTGGTATCATTCTTCTCCTGCTGATCCTCTGGTATAATCATATAACCATAAAGTGAAAATCATCGCATCGTATTATTTGCATGTAAAAGTTTTAAAACAATGAATGGTGAAATTATTTCTTTGGTTATTCTTGCATAGTAAGTACCAATAATAAGGCTAAAATATAATTAGAAAAATAATAAACTAGTACATAAATAATAGCCCTGTAATATAAATGTAATGAAAAAAATAAAGCGAAGGAATTGGAAACTTGCTTCTGAACAGGAAAAAAATTTTAGTTTTATTCTTATGCGGAGCTAGAAGTAGGTACTAAATAACAGGCTGAAATTCTTTTAGTTTGCAATTTTTTTTTTATTTTAAAATTAAAATAAATCGGTTAATTTATTTACGGTTCATTACGACAAATTATAGAAATTCGACGAGTTTTTAATATTTTTTCACCCTTAAATTGTGAATTTTCATTTGCTAAAATTTCATGAGTGAAGTTGTAACGTGCTGAGTGACTAAAACAAAAACAATAACGTACAAATTATATACCATCCATTATAGTGTAATTTTTAATGACAATACCTCATTATATACAGGGAAAGTCTTGGTAGCAAAATATCTGCATAAAAATTATTAATAGTCGATGGCTTTGGTTGATTACGATAACTAGAATCTACATCTTCTGACGTTTTATTTTGTTGATATTTCTTTTCATCAGTTCGTATAAGGCGCATTACAGAATTTGATAGTAAACTCATTCCAGCAATAGTATCACCACAATACTAAAAATTTAAACATTTTTTATATAAAAAGAAACGCTAACAACACCTAATCTTCTACCTACTCTTGTACTATCAACATGAGGTTTTATTACACCCTTCTCATCAAGATCTAATATATGTATATAAGACATAATTTGACCATTAAAGGCGACATCGCTTATTCTTTGAATAGTTTTTCTATTATGCGGATACCAATGCTTCCGTTCCGTTTCACGATATCCATGAATAGCCTATAATACATATTTATAATCTTTACTTCGAATATATAAAACAAATAAATAATGTGAAGAGTATTACTTACATCATCCCAATGATCAAATTCATATCTTAATCTTTTTAAATATGGTTCAACTTCATCTAACAATTGAGCTTCTTCTTCATTAGATAGAAAATTTGGGAGTACACGCATTTCATTTAGAAAAACACTTTTTTCAGTTTCTGGCCAATTTCCATGAAAATCAATGAAAATATTATCTGCAACAAAATGAATAATTTGAATTAAAAAAAATTATGTAAAAATATTTTTTATAGCAGTGCAAAGTAAAATATTTTTAGCAGTAGCAGTAAAAATATTTTAAGTGAATGAGACTGCAAATGAAAATATTTATATTGGATAGACCGATAGACTATCTGATTTTAATACCTTTGCGGTTTTTCTTATGGTAAGGTATTGTCATTCCCACGTTTGCGTTACGCGTAGTAAAAAATTTTTTCGGTATTAAGGAGAAATTTTGTCTTATCACGTAAACTAGGGAGTTCCACAACTTCTATTTTCTCTGTTAAAAAGAGTTTTACAATCATTCTTGACAGCAACTTGATTTGTTGGTCTCAGATAAGGAAGCTTCATTCAAATTGAAAAAATATTCCATACTTGCTTATTCGAAGAATAAATTTGAATAAAGTGTGGAAAAATTTTTTAGGCTCGTCATTGAAGTTTCAGATTTGAAAATCTATTCTTCGTAGGAATATTACCTGGATGTAGTATTTATTTATTTACAAAAATAACAAATTTTCGCAGTTTCTCTGCTCATAATCACTGTTAAAAGTTTCTTAATTCTATGGTTTTCAAAAACAATACAAGAACAATATTTGCGTCAATATTATTGGTATAGCTTCCTTTGATCACAAAGAGAATAGGCTTGACCAATTAATTGAATTTATTTTGTGATAAACTGAGTTATTTTACTTTTCAATATTAAATATTGAAATTGAACCTGTGTAAATTGATTATTTGTTTAATTGCATTGACCATTATAATATAAGTTTCACTCAATTTCCAATCCCAAATTTTTGTTACCATGTCTTCTGAAGGTTTTGTTCTGAACTAAAATAATGATTACATCCAGTATTAAGTTTTTCTAGAGAGTCATCTATCAACAAATAGAAGAGAGTCTACTTTATAAGCCAATACAATTATTACAAACACGAACCACGAACGTCCCCTGACTCTTTCTTATACTTATGATTTTTTAACGAAATTTTCCAAACATTTAGTTTATAAAACACTGGTTTCTTTAAATAATTGAGTTTGCCAATTAATCTCCATTCTCCATTAATATTAATGTCAAATTTGTTTTATAGGAGTAACCTATATTTTTGCAGTCTTGTGTTCTTCCAAATTTTAAACATTTATTTCATGTACATATGCGCTTTGTTTACAAATATCTGGCATAATTATTTATTAATGACTCTCACTTTATATGGATTTAATCTCAATAAATATTTATTTTGTTAACTTACCAGACGAATGCTTTTGCATGCAATATCTTGATAAAACTTTGTATTTAGGATAACATTCACAGGATCCTTTTCCCCATTTCATTATACTAGTGTTAAGTACATTTTTAATAATTTTAGTTGAAAAATACATTGGCTTGATTTTTTAATTTTCACAATCTTTGTAAAATTTAAATAAACCGAAGCAAATATTGGTCAAAAATTTATTATCTATGTTTGTAAATAAAAATCAGCTGAAAATTGGGATTTGTCATTGCTGTCATTAGACAAAACAATATTATTACAACAACCCTTGACATTACAAAATATTAAGGCCTGAACCTTGCTGTTTTGTGAATGGATTAATAAAATTGCAAATGTGTTTTTGGCGAAACGACATTTTTAAAGAAATGACATTTTTTTTGTCGTTTTTTTTTGGAAAAATTATATTTTTGCCTATTTTCATTTCGAGTTTTCTATATGAAAAGTTGACTTAAACCTAAAAATTTTTATACTAAAATGAAATTTGAAGTTATCTGAACAAGATATCAAAAATTCAAGTTTTAACTCAAAATTTTAACTGTTTTTGATTAAATATAATTTCGAGTTTTACCCGCAGTTTTTGAGCAGCCACCATTTTAAGATGTCAAACAGTATATGGGAGAAAATTGAAAGTTAAAATCAGTTTGTTGTTTTAAAATTTCAGTAGTGAAAAAAGTAAAAAAATGGTAAAATTTTTAACTTTTAAATCGAGTTTTTGTACTGTTAGTTTAGCTAAAAATATAAAAATTTTATATCAAAAGAAAATTTAAAGTTTGCACTTTGAACTGGTTAAAAATTAAGTTTCTAGAGGAATTTTTAAAGAAATATCGAAGTTTTAAAAAAAAAGCGTTCCAGAATTTTTTCATGCAGTGAATAAAAAAAAATTTGTGCTGTGAATATTATTAAGAAAAAAATAAAGTTTTGATGCAAAATTTTTAGTTTGTTCATTTTAAAATAAATTTAAAAAAATATATACATTGGATTTTAAGCTTTATAATTATTGTTTTAATATATCATTATGGTTGTCCGTCCAATTATAAAAACAAACATAATAAAAATATAATAAAGAAAATGTTCAGTTTTTAAGTTTCCTAACGAGGAGATTTGTAGGAAGGCATGGATTGAGGCTATTCCTAGAAGAAATTGAAAACCTGTTGAGAGTAGTGACGAAATTAGGTAGGTAGATCATATCATGCTTCATATGACGGCTATTTTTTAATAAATTTTAAAAGAGGAAGATTTTTAATATTATTTCTTTTCGGCAAATAATTACAAAGAAATATTACTCGTAATTAATCTAACTTTTACAAATTTGTGTATGGGCGATTTTGATATTGACTTGCAATCTTCATGTGACAATTTGTAAAACGTTTTCAAATGTAATTTTAAATCATTTTACCAAAAGCAAAAATGATTTATTAGATGGTAATAAAGAGAATGAAAAAATTTTAAAATTTAATTAGAATGAAAAAATTATAAAACATTAAAAGTGTTATTATATTATATTAGTTATATTATGTGATATTTTTTTAAGTTATATGTATATGTATGTGATCATGTGCTGTGATTTTATTTGATTTAATTTGATTTTTGTTTTCTTGTTTTTGTTATTATGTAGATATGTCGTTATATTGTTTGTTTGATTTAATTAATTTTATTTTTCTTTAATATCTTATATATTAATTTATTTTTTTTTTTCTTAAAATTTTATAAATGTATTGTCTTTTACTCTTTCTAAACTTTTCCCGAAATTTTACTAATATGCTTTAATTTTAGGTAAATGAGTGGATTAGGCCTACTAGGGATACCACTTTAAAAAACGCGCCATATCTTATACCTCTGCAAGCTAATGTGGAAAGGGGGATAATTACATAATTACAATTATATATTTATTTTATTGTATTTATTTATGTCAAATGTTCAATTTTAAAAATTAAGGAAAACACAAAAAAATCTGCTCAAATTTTCACAAAAAAAATTGGTTTTTTTTTTTTGTCTGGAAGGTTTTTCTAAAATCAATATTTTAATGTTTTTATAAAACCGAATCTTAAGAATGTAAGCACTAGTAAACTAGAAAAAGATTGAATTTTAAGTTTTTCTAAATAAAAATTAAAAAAAAAATGATCTTGTAGGAGATTTAAGATGTTAAAAAGGGCGCTCTATAGGTCCCATAAGAATACGTGTTAATTCGTCATCTGTTAACTGTCACTCTCTCTTAGGGTCCAGGCCTGTATTTCTATCTGCCGTGGTGAATAAACATTTTCAGCATTATTTGACTACTATACTTTTGTTCTTCTTATTATGTAAACATTCGCCATCAGATGACAAAAATTATTTATCAAATCCTGTCAAACTAATTTATTTACTATACATACTATAATAACAGTGAAAGTGAAAACATTGGATTAAATGTGAAGTTGAGTAAAACATTATATAGAAACAAAAATAAACGGCTTTTAGCACATAATGCAATGATCCTCTTAAAACATAAGATAAATTATTCCCTTTTATATCAAAAAATAAAAGTTCATAAAAATAGATACCTTGCAACTTTTGGCAATGCAGATTTTCAAAATTCAAAAAATGTTTTTCAACGAAGAGAGTTTGAACCAAGAACACCAGATCCTGATTATATTCCACCAGTTCCTGAACATGCCCGAGTAGTTGGTAAAAACTTAATTGCAATTAAATAAAGTGGAAAAATATCCAACTATTTTAATAAACCATTTTATATGAATTTGTTATGCTAATCAAATTTTCACTTATTTTTATAGTTTGTGGTGGTGGTATCATGGGTTCATCAGTTGTTTATCATTTAGCCAAAAATGGTTGGGGAAAGGATACTGTTTTAATAGAACAATCAAAAATTTCTGATGGGAACCCTTGGCATGAAAGTGGTCTTGTTGGTAGATTCTATCCAACTATAACTGAAATAAAATTAGCACAATATTCATACGATTTGATACGAGATTTAACGAAAAATAATCATCCAACTGGATGGAAAGAAGTTGGTTCATTAAATGTTGCAAGAACTTTCGATCGAATGACCTGGTTTCGTCGTATGAAATCGATTGGCAATGCTTTTGGAATACAATCAGAAATCTTATCTCCAAAAGAATGTAAAGAAAAATGTCCTCATATTGAATTTAAGGATCTTGAAGGTGGTCTTTGGCTTCCTTCAGATGGAGTATGCAACCCACATTTACTTTGTCAAACATTTGTTAAAGAAGCTCAACGAATGGGAGCTTCTATAATAGAAAATTGTGCTCTTAAAAGAGTAAAACAAACTGATGGAAAAGTAAGTGGTGTGGAAACAACGTCTGGAAATATATCGTGCGAATTTTTTGTCAATTGTAAGTGAGGAATATTCTCTATCAAGTTTTTTTAAAGAAATTTTGTATATGTTTACACAGGCACTGGATTTTGGGCGCACTATATTGGAAGACTTTCAGATCCCCAAGTTAAAATACCTCTCCACCCAGTACAAGTTCATTTTTTACATACAAAGCCTATTCCGTGGTTACCAGCGGATATGCCAGTTATAAGAGACATGGATGGAAAAATTTATATACGAGGTAACGATGGAACTATTTTAGCTGGAGGTTTTGAATTAGAAGCTAAACCAGCATTTGAAGATGGTAGAGTCCCAACTGCCCAGTCTGATAGGGAACTACCGCCAGACTGGGATCACTTTTATGAACTATTAGAAGAAATTCTTAAAAGAATGCCATGTCTTGAGGATGTTGTAATAGATAGGTTAACAAATGGACCGGAAGCTTTTTCACCTGATTGTAAATGGATTGTGGGAGAAAGTCCAGAAATTAAGAATTATTTTATATCTGCTGGTATGAAAACCATTGGAGTTTCAGGTGCAGGAGGAATCGGTCGTGCTATAGCAGATATAATTGTTAAAGGCTTTTCAAGAATAGATGTGCACTTGCTAGACATTTCAAGATTTCTTGGACTACATAATAATCGTAAATTTTTAAAGGAACGATGTAAAGAAGTTCCAGGTTTGAAATACAAAATTCCTTATCCATTCGATGAATTCAAAACTGGTAGAAATTTGCGAATGTCTCCTATTTATCCCTCTTTGAAAGAAGCTGGTGCTGTCTTTGGTCAAACGATGGGTTATGAAAGACCCAACTATTATGATCCACGTGACAAATTAGGTAATTTTTTTTCATTATTCTTCAAATAATTTAATTTTCATATTCTACCCAGATGAACTCGGTCTTCCAAGGTTTCGAATAGCAGAAACAAATACTTTTGGTAAACCTCCATGGTTTGAATTTGTTTCAGCAGAGTACAACGCCTGCAGGTTCAATAATTTAATTTTTCTTTTTTTTTTGCTTTTTGCAAAACACTGAATTTTTAAATAAATAGGGAAAGAGTTGGTCTTGCTGATTACAGCTCATTTACAAAGTATGATATATCATCAAAAGGTCGGGAGGTCGTTGATTTTTTGCAATACTTGTGCTCAAACGACGTAGATGTCCAAGTAGGTTCAATTATTCATACCGGTATGCAAAATAATCATGGTGGATATGAAAACGATTGTTCAATAGTACGACTTTCAGAAAATCAGTAAGTTTGTCGTTCTTGATTTGTTCTAATTAAATGAAAATCATTTTTAGCTATATGTTGATCGCTCCAACGATTCAGCAAAAGCGATCTCTTGCTTATATTCGTCGTCACATATCTCCTGGGTCTGGAATAAACATAACAGACATTACCTCTATGTACACCGCCATATGCATTTTAGGGCCCTACACAAGAGCATTGCTCTCAGAACTCACAGATACTGATTTATCACCATCCAATTTTCCATTTTTTACTTACAAAGTAAATTTGTTAAATGTTAACCATTTATAATAAAGATGTTTTATATTACATATTTGTATAGGAATTAGATGTAGGTTTAGCAAATGGAGTTCGAGCATTAAATATAACCCATACCGGAGAGCTAGGGTACGTACTATATATTCCAAACGAATTCGCATTACATGTCTATTCAAGATTATGGGAAGCTGGACAACGTTACGGGATTCAGCATGCCGGTACGTTACATACATACGTGTTTAACATAAAAATGTACATATGTTTTAGTTATCATGAATGTTTTATTATTTTTTATTTATAGGCTACTATGCTACAAGAACTCTAAGAATAGAAAAGTTTTTTGCATTTTGGGGTCAAGATTTAGACACCTTTACAACTCCTTTAGAATGTGGCCGGACATGGAGAGTAAAACTCAATGTAAATAATTCCTATTTGAATACTTAATTCTGATTTTAGTTAAAGCCTTTAACAATTTTTTTTTACAATTTGTTTCGATATATTTTAGAAAGACATAGATTTCATTGGTCGTGAAGCACTGTTAAAGCAAAGGGCGGAAGGTGTTAAAAAAATGTATGTACAACTGCTTTTAAATGATCATGATCCCGAAATTGATTTGTGGTGTTGGGGTGGCGAACCAATTTATAGAAATGGTAAATATTCTGGTATGACAACGACGACAGGTTATGGTTTTACATTGAAAAAACAAGTATGTTTGGGCTTCATAAAAAATTATGGCGAAAAGGGTGAATCACTTCCAGTAACAAATGATTTTATACTGTCCGGACACTATGAAGTAGAAGTTGCTGGTTTAAGATTCGAAGCAAAAGTAAATCTACATTCACCTAACTTACCAACTAAATTTCCGGATCGAGAACGTGAGGCATATAAAGCTACAAGGGATAAACCAGTTCAGGGGGACATTTTATCATATAGAACATAAATTTAACTATTAAATGAGAAGGACAATAAAAATTATAACAAAGTTTCTAGAAATTAAGGAAGCTTGTTACATTTAGTTAACATTTATTTTATATCAAAGAAAATGGGAAATTTTTGTCATTTCGAAACTTTTTAGATTTTTAATACGGTCAATTAGAAAGTGATAAATAAATATTCACTAAATAATGTTATCTAAAATAAAAAGTCCCGCTTTGATATTTTTGGCTGTTTTTGCATTTACAATGCGATAATAGAAATTTTTATAAATATATAAATAATTTTAAAAAATATTTCTATTTTTAATGTAACTAAAAAGTTTTCATAAATAAGTAGTACATGTTTATATTATTTACTTAAATTACGAAAAAAAAAAGTTGTTCAAACATTTACATAATATATTTTACAATCTTGTTGTTTTGCCTGAAATTATGAATTAAATAACATTATTATGAAACAATGTACGATTTATTATATACACGCATACATACATTAAATAATAAATTTTGTTTTCGATATTTAAATTTGTATTCGAACTTTATTGCAATATGGTCCTTTCACTAAAAAATCAATGGGATGATATTTTTAAGCCTGTAGACAATTAGAAAAATAAAGCCTCACCTTAGCTCTGTTCTTTGAAATGTCAGGCGACATAACATTACTGAGGACAACCATTTTCATCTTTAAAATTACAGTTTATTGGTTAAAATACCTGTATTATTTTAATTTCAAAAGTATGAAGTGCTAATCTATTGTCTGCCGTGTTTTTTCAAACATTTTTTATTTAAACATAGTCACTACTTTCTCTAATTTTACTTACTTTTTTCTATTATATGCAATTCAGGAATTTACATCTTATTTTTTTGTAATAATATTTACATAACACATTTTGTCAAAAAAAATTTACATAATAGAAGATCTAATATTCCTCCAAACGTGCACGGTGATTAATTTCTCAATAAAAGTACTCACAAACCTAGAATAGGAATATTTAATATTTTTTAATAAAATAAATATAGTACAAATTAGAATTTATTTTTGTTCTTAATAATCCTTAAAGGAATGGATTTATTCATATGGTATTTTTTGACATCTGTTGGTCGCTGTTTATAATTTATAAAGCATTATAGCGCATGTATCATTACCATTTTTAAAGAAAAAACAAAAAAAAGCCATATAATACAGAATTACCTACATACATAATAAATGTACTCTCAATTCAAAGTAAAAAGTTCTTGAAATGGGGTCATTTTCAGTCATTGACTTACTTTTTGGTCCAGTGACCCATTTATTGTATTGAGGTAAGGTTGCAATTTTTAAACTACATAAAATACATAAAATTATGTATAGTGTTTTATATTAAAATTTTATTAATTCGATTCAATAATAAAATAAGTTAATCTTTTACTAATTGAGTTTTAAAAAAATAAAAATGAACGAGATAATATTAAATCTTAAGAGCTTCATTAAAGGATGAATAACGTAAGTAATTATCTACGTTGTTATTTTAGGTATAATGCTTTTGTTTTATTTACTGAGTGAATGGAACATTTACCTATATAATATAAAATCTAAACTTTTCTCAATTATTAATTTAATTTAGTTTTAGGAATATCACATTTGTAGATATATATTTACTATATTTAACTTTATTTACTATTTCTTACTAAAGAATTTATTTACTGGTGTTTAAATCAGTATTATATTCAAAGTACAATTCTAATATAATGTTGTTATATTAATAATAAATTAAAAAATAATTTAATTCTAATTTTAAATTATTTATAATTTTTAAAGCGAAAAGGTGTTCAATAGTGTTTCTAAACGAAATGAGTAAAAAATTTGACTTCAATGAATTTTTGATAATTGAGTTCTAATTTATAGATCTTAATATGAAGCACGTCCGAAACATAAATGCTGAAAATATTTTAAGTCAAAAAAATGTTATGCTAAGGACTTTATTAATTTGAAAATGCAAATACATATCAATGTATTTTTAAGATTTAAGTTAAAACTTTAAATGCATGCCAGAATTATTAAAAATACCAAATTTTATTAAAAAAATTAAAATATATATAACATGTTTTACATGCAAAACTACGATATATGTAGACTGAAGAACATTTGGATATTTGGAGGATCCTATCATTATGGCGCATATATAAAGAAAAGCGGAAATCTTATATTAAAAGAAAATTAAAGTTAAAAGTTTTCCTCAAAAACCTGCTCTTAATAGGGAATCAAAATAAACAACCATCAATAATCTGTAAATAACTATGAGGAAGCCGCTTTTTTCTTAATAGAAAAAATGAGTTCCTCATACTCGTAACTCAGCAACCCCTCAAATGGGTTCCAATTTTTTTAATAGAAAAAAACATAATATTAAATATATGTAGATTCCCTGTACTCCCAAATCAAATTTTCTTAATAAATTATCAAAGAAAGACTCTTAAAACTATTTGCAACGAAATGAAAACCACCCTGTACATACAGAATTATTTAATATTGAGTAGAATATTACATATACCATCGTTTAAAAAATCAAAAAATAAGAAAAATTTTTACTTGGAGAACTAGGAGTCACACTTCAATAGTGTCCGAGATACAGGGATTTTAAGAAAATTTGATATACAGAATTTACTCTTATTATGCGATCTACGAAAGAAATGAGCTTATATGTATATCTTTCGTAGATAAATAAAAGAACTAATTTTTTTGAAAGAGCTCATTGAAGTCTTTATGACAAAGCATAACTTAATTTCCTACCCCATTGTAATTCCAGAATGGTAAGCATTAAAAATTAAAAAACAATTTTCTTTATTTTCTTTATTCGCAAAATATTTCCAAAATTTTCAATGTTTTTTATTCCGCAACTACAAGTGTTAATATAATTTAAGCCATTCCTCATTTTAAAGGTTCAAAAGCTATTTAAAAAAAAAATGTACCAAATTTTCTTAAAATCCCTGTATCTCTAAAACCGTCTAGTTATTAAATTAATTTCTGCATAAAAGTTTAAACCTGTTTTTGATTCTCCAAGTCTTAACGATTGTATATAAAAAATTCGATATTGTAATCAGTACTGAATCAACCTGTATAGCGCCTATGCGTATCATGCTTATTGTGGTGTTTGTTTTTGTGTCAATATGCAATATTGAATAATTAAATTGGAATTCATTTCACATTTTTTTTATATTAGATATTATAGATAAATATTATTTATTAATAACATTATTATAAAATTTAATTTATTTTAATTTTGAATAATTATTCTTAAAGCAAAAATTAATAATAATGTACGCATTTCTGCTCATTTGCATACTTCTACACATGTTTGTTTTTAATTTATAATAAAAAAAAAAATTTCTCCCTATATATTCTTTTTAATTCATTTTTTTTTTATATTTTTCTTCTCCCAAGATATAAAGATCCTTGTATTCGTACATATATGAAAAATTTCTGTTTTTAGATTTTATTTTAAGAGTTTTTTTTATATGTACTCGCGTAAAATGTGAAATGAAGTAGAAAAATTTATAAAACAACACCATGAAAAGAATTCATTTGAGTACTACAAAATTATAAGAATAAAACAAAAAGAACGAGTTTAAGTATCAAGCATTTAGGTACCTCTACCAACCTATAGCAATTTCTTACAGCAATTTTAAGCTTTTTTAATTTTAGTTATATCGTGACGGTCAACATAAACAGTCCAATTGAGTACATTTTTTGCTTTTCAAATAAATTATAAAATAATTTCAATTATAATTAATATTTGTTTTTAAAAGTTAATTTTATCTAAATATATTAAAAGAATATTGTTTACCCGAATAATTTAATTAAATTTTAATAATTTCAATATCACAATAAAATTAAATATTACACTCATTTGTACATAAAAATATTGAGAGTTCACTAAACTTTAGAGATTAATATTTTGGACTTTACCCTGCTTATAAAAATTTTTTTTTTATATAAAAATATATGAACATAAATACATACTGTTGTACATATTAATACAATCATAAATAGTAGTAGATTATTAAAGAGTTTATTTAAAATCAGAAAAAATCACAATACATAATTAAAGGTAAAAAAAAAAATTGTTATTTTCTAAATTTTATTTGTTTTAATTTTATTTAAACAATAATAATACAAATTTGTATGTATGTATGTATTGTGAGAAAAAAATATAAGTAGATGATCAAATCAAATCAACTTGATCTTGTAATTAAAACATATACCATCAACACATTTTTATCGCACCCATAGAGAAAGACTGTCACAACTAGAAATAGAATAATAATGACATAAAAAAGATAATGATAATACAAAATCATTGTTTTCATGTTATGAGCTGTTCCTGCACTTGTAAAACTAGATTTCCTCGTATTTTTATTATATGTAAATTTTATAAAATAGCGGTTTTTATTAATGGAGTTATTAGATTCAAACGACAACTTACCATAGTTATATATTATAAGGAAATACTACTTTACTTTTGAATTATGTATGTATGTATATACATTTAGTCTTCCTTGATTATTTTAGTGATCTACCACTATTTTAAATATGAAATATCTAGTACAATAGTTTTCTAATATCGTAGATTCCAATAGAAAATCTCAGGTCGTATAATTATTGGTTATAGCACAAATTTAAATACAGGTATTTAAATTTGTGCTATTATGTAATAGTATAGCTTCTACGAATGTAAACAGCGAAATTTTTTAATTTCTTGATGTTTTAAACCGATTTTGTCATGATATAAAATATTTTTTTATATTATTGTCAATATTTAATCACTATTAGTGAATAATAATTCACCCACAACATTTTAATAAACGTCATACTATGTATATACATACATAGTATACACTACAAACATACATACTATGTAACGTACATTATATACCTTTATTAAATTTTTTTCTGTTAATAAAATTAAATCACGTACACTTTATGTAGCTATATAATTATTTTCTTATGCATGTGTACCTATAAGTCATTATTAGTTTTATTCATGATTTTAAATTATGGCAACCAATTTAAGAAAACTTATATAAATTATAATAAAAACATAATAAATATAATTACCACCAATCATTATGATTTTAGAAATAAAAAGTGCAACTTTACTAAGTATTTAAATAATTTTGAAAATTTTAATTTGAACGAAAACATATTGTGAAACCCTGTCTATTACGATTGTAATGCTCAGTGTTACACATATGTTACAAATATGCATGTTCAGTGTTACAAATATGCATGATAGTAAACATACAAATTACTTCAGATAAATTGTATAAATAGATCATTTTAAATTTATAATAAAAATGAAAATTAAATTAAATTGAAAAAAAAAAATTAAAAGTAAAGAAATAACTAAGTGAAATTTGAATAAGTCTCGACACTAGCTTCAAAATAACTTTATCAACGTATAAGTATTAACTAAGTACTTTGATTACTATATAAATGCGGTTATAAATAATTTGAAATAATATAATGAAAAATTTACGCTTAACGCTTGATTAACGAGGCAAAGTTTATAATTTTTTGCTATATAACTGGATTCAAAATGAAAACGGTCTCAAGAACGACCCTAATATTTAACGTAGTTTATTTATTATATACATTCATACATATATGCGTAATATGTGTGCGTATGTATTTAACTCAACTTTAATTTAAAATATTTTCAAAACAATAATAAAAAAAAGTTAATTAATTTTTTTTTATTTTTGTATATACCATCAATTAATTTGCACACAAAAAATATCGTATACGATTATTGTACATAAAATTATTAATAAATACATACATAGACATAGGTCGTTATTATATAGATATTTAAAAAATTTAACCCTAATAAGCAGATAGGATTTTGTATAGTAAGATATTATTTGCAACCTTAAATTTTATAACAAGTATTTGAGCAAAAAATTTACGACAAAAACGTTATTACGTTACATTTAATATTTTATTAACACTCAAATTATTATGTCATACATATGTATACTTATTTACGAAATTATTGAGTCCCTTCAACAAGAACTTAAGAGTTTTTAGATTTCCCTCAACGGTGGATGTTAAAAAAAAATCTGATCTGGTTAGCACATAACCGACCGCAATGTGTATTGTCTAGTTAAGTGAAAGTGTTACAGAATATTATAAAAATGCCTTTTAAATACTTCTTTTCAATTTTTAGGTCATTAGTAAACTTATAGTTATAACATACCTAGAAAAATGTAAATTTGTCTCTCAGTAGAGTTTCGCTTTGTGCTACTCGCATTACCTGAAATGCTCCTCAGTTAGTTTCGGTAACAACCAGAACTCAAATATCAAATTTCAAGAAATTCCATCAATTCGCTCTGTAGATATGGTGAAAAATGTAAAATTGAGGCCTGATCATTCCAAAAAAATTATATGTTCTTTGCTTTAGTACGAAGAATTTAAATATTAAATTTTAATGAAATCGGTTGATTATTTCTCTTTATATACGCAAACATGTATACTTGGCCCGTAGTAAACGTCCAGTTGCCGACGTCTGATTTCTTCCAAAAGTTGGGAGGTTTTGGCGGATGGTCGAGTGAAGCTTATATATATGAAATTTCAAGTAAGCCTGTTGAATCTTTTGTTCATAATGATCAAAAATGTAAAGTAGGGCCGCTAAAAAGTTCAGTTTCCGGGGCCTGATATATCCCAAAAGATTGATCAATTCGTGCCATAGTCGAAATAAACTTACATATAAAATTTCATCAAAATCGATTCAGCCAAACTTGAAATACACGCGTGCACACACAGACCGACAGACCGACAGGTTGCTAAAAATAGTTTATTTACACTTCCCTACTATGAAGAAGTGCGTTCCTACCTCGACATGCAAAATTTGCTGCCATCACATAACCTACCTATTGTATTCACAATACGGTCGTTAAACTTTTTGAAATCTCATAATTCATGTACGTAGTACTAAAAGCCGTTAAAACCAAGAAATAAAACAAAAGTCGATTCACGTATAAGCGATTTAGAAAATTGAAACACAATAATTTATCAAACCGTCTCATTAGGTTAAACGATAATAAAACAGCGTTCTCATAAAATTTAACTATGCTTAAAATAAAATTCTTATAGACAATTATTTTTAATTGAAATCTACTTTATAAACTGAAATCAATTTTAATTTATATGTGCATGAGTCTGTGTGAAAATTTTATATTTTCTCATATACAATATTATTATATGTAGTTAGTTCTATTCTAATATTCTAGTGTATGGTTACTTATAAGTTTATGACTAATTCAAACCATGTTCCTTCTATTTCACGCCTTTCTCCTAAAACATTGTGCGATTATTCTTTTGTGTGTTTTTTCTCTTTATCACTTTTAAATTTAATTTTTTAATTTTCTTTATTTGTTTTTATTATAATTTTTACATTCATTTCCAAATACAGAACAACTGGGTATTAAAATGATAAGATTAGACACATGTTATCAGTCCCTACTTTAATATATAAATAAAGCGACTTCATTATATTACTATTGTTGACCTCTTTTTAGACAGTTTTACTTAAAAAATATTTTCTAAACATGAACAGACATATTTTTATTTTGATGTGCTTTGTGAATTTTTAAATTTGTGAACTTTAAGATTAAAATTTAAAAATATAAGTAAGTGTTAGAAATATAAGATAAGAAGAGTTGTTGTATATGACACAGCATTATTATGGTCAGTGTGAACCCCTAAAATAATGGAATATGTGCGTCAGTAAAATAAGTTGATAGATTTTCTTTTATAGGTTTATACCTCAATTTCCGATATTATAAATTATAATATGAATATGCATATGCGATGGTTGCACAAAATATACCCCTACATTGTATTTCGTCTCCAAATTAATAAACCCAAGAATTTGAATTTTTAATATTATAAAATTATGCACAATATTATAAAAACATTTATGCACATAAAATTTTCAGTCTACAAGTCACGTGTATAAATATTGTACAGCGTGACCAAAAGTGAACTGACATATGAATTTACACAATCAAACTCCCTTAAATAGTGTTGTGATAATATACATAAGCCGTCTTGTGTTTTTGATGTGATAAATCACTTGTATAAGTTTGGTCAGGTTGGTGTAATTAGATTTTGGAAAATTGTTGGGATTGTCGAATGGATTCTTATTGCTAAATAAACCCAAAATAAATTTCTACATATTTACACAGAACAACTTTTCATAGACCCTAGCTTCATAATAATATATATAGGTGCAGACATATATAAATTAAATAATTAACCTTTATCTTTTTGGAACCCTAAATTCAATTATACAAATGTACATAATATCCAACTTTCGGTTTTAGATTTAAATTTTAATTTTATTTTTTTAAATTGTTTCACTTTTCACATAGTCAATCTTTTAAGAGCATACAGAAACAACAATTTTGTACGCATACGTTCTCTAAATATACACATAATATGTATACATATGTTTTGAATGCCGGTTATTGTTTTAACAGTTTAATATATATATATATATATATATATATACATAAATAAATACGCAAACTATAATGTTTACTTGCCTGTTCGGCAATTACTATTTACCGATTTAAAATTTTTAGTATATAATGTTCGTCTGATTAAATCCAAAACAGCATTTACTATAACTGATAGCTTAGTAGTAAACCAATTAATGGTTAATAAATATATTTAATTACCAATCTATGTGTGTGTATTACCAAATTAATTATTGAATAATAAAAGCACTATAAATTTTACTTTTTATCAGTCTGCACGATTATAACAATTTTTTTTTTTTGTAATTCTTTGTTTATTGTTTGGAAGGGTTATGTTTCGCTATCAGTTTTTTTTAGATAATATGATTCTTAACAAATTTTTAACCTTGTATAGAGTTCGGATTATAACATGTTTTATTCCTGAATAGCATTAATTCCAATAAATTTCTTTTTAATGGTTCGGTGAAAGATTATGAAAATAACCTGTAAACACACATTTTAAGTTCTGAGAGAGCAGTAGCGTTTTGCTTAATATACATTAATATATACCTATGTATATTATATACCATAACTATATATCTAAAAAATTGTTCATCTGGTTATAATTAAGAAATATTAAAAGTTGTTCAATTCGACATACACAGACACATAGGCTTACAAACGGATACCTTTTTGAAAATAGTCTTTTGACATTTCTATTATTTGTTCCTTCTTATCGTAGATAGCAATGCCCTAGTTTGACTCTATTTGTTTTAAAAGCTCAGCATTTGTAATTCAATGTAATTATAATTTCTCCCTTCATGTATGCAATGTTTCAGCATAGGCAAATTGTAAAAACATATTTGCTTATTGAAGTTCAGAAGTAATTGAAGTATTTGAAGGATGTTGGTGCACAAATCAATCACGTTTCATTGTTATAAAATTTATTGCACCTATTGTATAGTGAAAATAAAATAATTAAATTAATTAAACATGTGTAAAATTATATTAATAAACATTATCTAAATGTACATAGGTTCTTATATATAACTCTTAATTATATGAATTAAGACAAATTACAATTAACTTACAATTTAATTTCAAATTCCAAATGAAATTTCTTGAAATATAGGCCCAAAATATTTGCATTATATACCTATGTACATAAGTAAATCAAAATATTAGTACATTACAGAACTCGTGTTTTCCTTGACTTCAACGAGGGAATATGAGTAATTGCTAAATTTTGTAGTTTAACAGTATTACTGCAATTCTGAAGTCGTCTGGTATCTTACAAAATATAGTCTTCTTACTTTTGATCATTCTTTTTTCATTCTCTTATACATTCTGTAAAAAATTTTTGTTGTTTTTTATTTATCAACATGAACCTTTAATATATTTGGGAAATTCAATTAGTACAATAATCAAAATTGAACTTCAAAATTGGTACTCACAAGATTTTTTAATTTCATCTTTTTCTTTTATTTTTTAGCATCAATTTTCAGACGTCAATTACTACAGATTTTTATACGTGATATACATAATTTCAATTTGAAGAACATATAGATATATAAATCACTATTCTTACACGTGTTTATAATAATTAGTTTATATGCGGTAGTTATTATATAACTACTTAATCGTTAATTGCAAATTTATATTGTAAGCATTATAGAAAGTGAAAAGTAGAAGAAAGAACAATGATTCGGCCCAATAGAAATGTCGTATTAAATTTTCATAGAAATATAAAATTTATTAATAAATTATCAACATCAACATCACCAGCTACCACTACAATAGCATTAAACAAGTTTAAAAAAGTTCAAACAAGTTATAATCAAAAGCGTTTTCAAACAACTGAACCTGATTTTAATTTAAATAAAAATTTAAAAGTTTGTTCAAATCACGGGTATATTAATGCATCACCTTTTGAAACCATTTACGATCCTAATCTTACTTTAGATCAATACGTTTGGAAAAATTTAAAACGTTGGCCAAATAAAATTGCTGCAGTTAGTATCAACTATGCAAATAATATATAAATATGTATATTATTTTAATGGTTATATTTTAAGGTGTGTGTTTTAACTGGCAGAAAGTATACTTTTGCGCAATTAAGAGATGCTTCAGCAGCATTTGCAGTTAGATTACAAAAAAAGTTTAAACTTCAACCAAGAGATGTTTTAGCAGTATGTCTTCCAAATTTACCTGAATATCCAATAGCTTCATTTGGAGCCCATGAAGCTGGTTTAGTTGTGACGACCGTAAATCCTATTTATACAGCTGGTAATATTTTTTTCCCAAATTATTTAATAAAATTAAATTTACTTCTAAAAATTCTTATATTTTCATAAAACATGTAACTTTACATTTTTTTTAGATGAAATCGCTCGCCAATTAACTACTAGTAACGCTAAATTAATTATTTGTATTCCGTTAAATTATGATGCAGTTAAAAAAGCTTGTGAAATTTCAAAAAAAAATATTCCAATTTTATGCATTCCATTTCTTGGTGAAAAACAACCGCTACCAGAAAATACAATAAATTTCTTTGATATGATAAGTACAAAAGGAATTAATCTTAGTGACTTAACACCAAGTGGCATAACTCCTGATGATATAGCATTTTTACCATTTTCATCTGGTACAACTGGTTTACCAAAAGGTGTAATGCTAACACATCGAAATATTACAATAAATTGTGAAATGGTGCAGGCAAAAGTTCCAGTTGAAACTTATGTTCATGAAACTACAAATACATTCCAAGATATAATACCATGTGTCCTACCATTTTTCCATATATATGGTTTAACTGTTTGTATGATATCAAAATTATATTTGGGATGTCAATTAGTAACGATACCAAAATTTACCCCAGAAGATTTATTGAAATCTTTAGTTGTTTATAAAGGAACTATGTTAAATTTAGTACCACCGATTTGTAAGTATCAAAGCACTTTTAATTGAATACTAATGAATTTTGTACCTGTAGTATAATTGAAATATAATTCTATAGTAGGTATGATTGAGAAATATAATGAAAATGGCAGTGAGACTTCAGAATTTAATATTTAATTTGAATATTTGTTTGCTTCCCATTCCTCGTCCATCTTTTGTATGTCATGAACATAAAAATTTAATTTTTTATACATTAACTCACGAGTTCTCCCAAATAAGAAATTTTTAAATTCATTTTTGAATCTATCGATATTTGAAACCTGAATTTTACAGTTCGCATTCTATATGAAGAACACAAAGGCACAAATAAATGTATTTTAGATTATTATAAAAACAAGAAGAAGAATCATAGGTTTAATAAATTTCAAGGTTTTAAAAATTTTGGGAACATGTGAATGAAATCATGAAACTTTTATAACATTTTTCAAAATATTTTCATAATTTATTCAATAAGATTTCATCAGATATTTTTGTTAGACGAACCAAATTAATATAGACTAGTAACCAACTAAAAAATCGAAATGTGTTTAAATGAAATACTCGTAAGAAACTTGAATTCTATTAAAATATAACCATGCTAAATAATTGGTTCTTTAAATTTTTATATGTATATTCTAATATTAATTAAATTAAGTTTTTATGGCAGATCAATATTATTTATTTTGCAGTATTGATGTTAACGAATGTACCTACTGTTAAGACTGAATTTCTAAATTCTGTTAGATCTGTAATGACCGGTGCAGCACCTATTGGTGGAATGGATGCGATAAGATTTTTGGAAAAGTAAGTATATGAAATTTAATAATATACATTTAAAATTTTATGTTTTCCAACTAAGTAAGTTATAGGAATATCCATGTACTTGCATATAAGTTGTAAAAATTACCGATTTTTTTAAGCAAATACCTAACGTACCTAATTTCTGGCAAAGATCCAGATAATATCATGAAGTTTTACAATATGTCAGGATTGTTGTTTTAAATTAATGTACTCACATATAAGTACGAGACAATTTATTAGTTAACTGAAACATAAAACAAAATCTGACCAAAAAATTTTCAAATAAATTAATTATATTAACTAACAGCACTATGAAAATCTGAAATTAAATTATTTCTTTCAATTATATATTTTTAGATTTCCAGATGTTCAATTAATACAAGGTTATGGTTTAACAGAAACATCTCCAGTTGTTATACTAACACCAATTGGTAATAAAAATTATTCTTCAGCTGGATTTTTAGTTTCTAATACAGAAGCGAAAATTATAGAATTTAATGATCCTTTAGCTAAAGGTTTAGGTCCAAATAAAACTGGTGAATTATGTGTACGAGGTTCACAAATAATGAAAGGTTACTTAAATAATGAAGAAGCAAATTCTGATATATTTTTACCTGATTCATGGTTAAGAACTGGTGATGTAGCACATTACGATAACGAGGGTTATTTTTATATAACAGATCGTATGAAAGAATTAATTAAAGTTAAAGGTTTTCAAGTGCCGCCAGCTGAACTTGAAGAAGTATTACGATCTCATCCAAAAGTGTTAGACGCTGCTGTTTTTGGTATTAATGATGAAAAAACAGGAGAAGCTCCACGTGCAGTTATAGTACCGAAAAAGGATGTAAATGTGAAAGAAGAAGAAATTTTGAATTATGTTGCAGAAAAAGTAGCACCTTATAAACAATTAACTGGGGGTATAGTATTTGTAAAAGAAATACCAAAAAATCAAGCTGGAAAAATCTTAAGAAGGGAATTAAAAGTAAAATTTCCAGCAAAATAATATTTTAAAAATATTAATTTTAATTTTTCACTATAAATATTAATGTGTATGTATATATGTTTACAGTGTACTGTTTTTATAATTAAAATATTTGTTAAATTTAAGTTTTTCTTAAATTAAAAGTTTTTATTTTCGGAAATCGAAGGTTTTATTTTATTCGAAGGATTTATCACCTTCATGAAACATAAGCAAAATTTTTATAATAAAAATAATTAGGCTTATGTTTCTATGCTCTTATGTTTTATGCTTTTGGTGTATTTAAAATTTTTATATGTAATAGATATTGTATTCTTGACAAATGTGTAAGAATAGATAGAATACTACTCCCATGCATTCGTCTAACAAAAATATATATGTATGTATATATATATATGTACATATTTTAAAAAGGTACATTGAGTTGTTTGAAATTATTGTTTCTTTATTTTCTTGTTATTTTCTTGTTGTTCTTTACGTTATTTCAAATGAAATATTAAAATTATTCTCGTATGTGTGTATGCGTATATGTCAACTTTTATACCGTACGCAGCATAAAAGATACATTGATAAGTTGTCATATTATCTCAGCTAATGTCAGATTTCTCAGATTTTTTGTAAAGAAAATAAAAAGGTTCAGAGAATACCATCTTATTCTCAGTGTTTTCAGTACGTATAAAGAAAAAGTAAATTTTGGTTTAATTTTAAGAATTTTCTCTTTTTCATAATATAAATGCATATAAATCTTTGTAAATACATAGGCATATGTATTTACAAGCCATGCGACATACATAATGCAAAGCAGTGGTGTGTAAGTAGAGAAACCATACTGTGTACTTTGCTATTTTGTTATTTTTACCAACCGCTTTGCATACAATAAGGGAGGTTATATGATGGCTATGGCAACAAATTTCGAATGGAGAGTTTTCGGTGGTAACGCACTTCTCCTTGGTATAGAAGCGTTTATAAACTATTTTCGGAGAGATGTCGGTTTGTCGGTCTGTCTGCATATGTGTACAGCCTTGAACACACATGCAGACAGACGACCTTGGCTGAACCGATTGTCATGTAATTTTATAAAAAAAAAGAAGATAAGTTTGAATTAATTTTATACTTTGGCGCCAAAGATTCTTAAGTAAAATCACATTAAGTAGTGGTTTTGCCTTGAACAAGTGAAACCATTTTTATTAAAAGACAACTCTATTCTCATTAATTTACCAAAATTATTATATATAATTGTACGAATATCATTTAATAAGAAATTTTTGCGTACTTTTAGAATGAAAACAAAAATTAAAAGAATTTGTGACATAATTGCTGGACGTATTTCCCTCGGTTTTTAAGTTAAGATAAATAATTATACTTTTAGATAACACATTTACCATTACTTATAAAATCTTATGCATAGTTGTTTCATAGATAATCAGTTAAAAAATTAAATTTACCTAATTTTTAAAGACGCAAGTTTCTTAAAATGAAATGAACCACATAATATTTCATTTTATATAACTATATTTACTATTATATATGTATCCTACTACCTACTTTAATTGACAACAAGATTAAGCAAATTAAAAATTTTTCTTAGAGAATTTTAAGAGAAACATGTATGTACATATGTGCAAAATACAGGATTTCTATATTAAACAGTGTAGAAGTTTTGAGATTTCTTGAAGATATTCCTGTATAGATTTTGGAAAGGCAAAAATACCTCACAATATTCTATTGTAAATAAGTTGAAGTTTCAATTTTCAGATACTACATTTCAAGTTTTTTGAATTAATGAACGGGGAAATCAAAAAATTAATTAAGTTAGTTTTATAAAATTCGTTCCGAATTTTCTTTAATGAGTTCTTCACACATATGGATGTTTGTTTCTTAATCATAATTTTATATTTATATTTGCTATATAAGCACACGCCCCTGATATTTTGTTATATTAAGTATTTGTACACATACAATATAGATATGTACATATGTACATATATTTTACAAGCAACAAAGCTATTAATCAACGAAATGTGTTGTGTATATTAAGAAAACAAACTTTGCTCTCGAAATTCTCCAATCAGTAAGATCTTTATGCTCAAATGAAAAATAAAACGTTAAAGTGCGGCATTTGCTTTTTTTAATATTTTTGTAATTTTTGATAAAATTTTTTTAAAAAATTTTGGTTTGGAAAGGTTATAATAATTTTATCAATTGGTTTAATTTCAAATTTAAGAACTTTTTATAATTTTTAAAAAATTCTTGTTCAATTTATAGTAAATAATAAATGTGATATAATATATTATGGTATTCATATTGTGTACAATATAACGCTGACAACGTGAATACATGAATCAGTGTATAAAGATTGTGTTCATAATATGTATTTATGTAATAACGTGACATTAACACGCTTAATTTTATTTTTATTTGCTGTCTAATAAAAAAATTTATTAAAATCATAGTTGAAATTAAACTTTTTATGTATTTTTTTAAATTTTACTCGTGAGCAATAGAGGGCAATCGAATAGGAAAATATAAAAATTATAATGTTATGTTTTACTTTGATTATTTTAAAATATTTACATTGTACGAGTATGTAAAATAATTTCATTAATTTATTTGTAAATAAGCAATTATGTATGTAGATATAATATGTAAGAACAACCTTTCATACAATACATATGTACATACCAATCAATGTATGCAATTTAAAATATAAACGATATTCGATTGAAACCGTCCCTTTTTACACCCTGCATCTTTGTAAAGGATATTAACTTTAGTACGGAGTTTGTAACTACTTGTAAGAGCCGCCTGTGAGTTGAACATGTATATATTATATATATTTATGCTTAGCGCAAAACTCTGCGTTGTTGTGCATCCATTCGATCACACAATAACTCAAAAATGAATAACAAGCTTTTACAATTTGTTTTTTTTCTGCCAAGGACGGACACTTTTGCAGCAATTGGAACAATTGGAGCCTACTGTAATTTGAAAAATTCGAACAACAGGTTATGCTAGCTGCCATACAATAAATACTTGGTAGAGAAAAAATCATATATGTACGTACTTCATTTGTACTGCTCCTACATAATGTATTTCATACAGGGTAGGAGCAGTAGCTGAGGCACGATTTTATTGTTCTAATATTTTTAAAAATCAAGAATACAATTGATTACAGACAGACCATACATGCAGTTACAGACGATTAACAAACTACATATTTATGTACAGTAAAATTTTTGTAATTTTTTCTCAGCGTTTTTGAATTTGAACATGGTTAGATTCATAATAAACTTCTTCCTAAAATTTCTTGAATTTATACTGCGAAGGTTTAGTTTTTTATTTATATTATATCTTCTAAAACTATCACTGACTTCAAAATTGCAGTAATATTGTATTACCACAAAATTCAGAAATAAAATCTTGTCAAAAATAAGAAATAAATCTGAATTGTGTTTAATATCGCATTGCTACAATTATGAAGTTGGGGTATGCATAATATTTGTATGTATGTACTCGTACTTATCTCTCAAAACAGGTTGTAAACATTAACGTGAGATTTGAGTATACTACTTACATAATATTATTATGTAAATAATTTTTTACAAGTTATATTTTTATGAGTAGTTAGTATATGAGGATATAAACAGACTATGATTCGGTCAATAAAAAGTGCCGGTATATTAAAAAATTTTTTTCCAAATAAATATAAAAATTTTATAAGATATCAATCGACAAATGTGAAAATATGTAAAACAAATGGAATTATTAGAACTTCACCTTATGGGGAAATCTCTATACCGGAAATCACATTGGATAAATATGTATGGAAAAATGTAAACCGTTGGTCAAATAAAGTAGCAACGGTTAGTACCTAGAATAATTTAATTTTGAAATTATTCGTTATAAAGGAGAACGCTTCGATTGTTCCATTCTTTTTATGTAATTATTGTGCGTTAAGTAGTATGCTTGCTAAATTTAAGTTCTTGTATTGTTAATATTGCTATGTTATTTAATTTTCAATATTCGTGTTAGTTTAACTTTTGAATACTAAATAAATAAACAGATAAAAAATACCAAATAATTAAAGCATTTACATAACAGATTTACTTAATATTAAACACGTTAATATGCCAAATATGTGTTTAGAAATGGAAATATAAATTCACATCACTCATGTAATAATATCTATGTGAAAGTTTTAAAACATAAACTTTTTAACGCCTATTTTTTTTTTAATTTACATATTATGTGTAATATAATTTACAACAAAAAGTTTGAACTATATCGAAGCAGTCTTCCTTGTAAAAAACGATAATTATCTTTCATTTTTGTAAATTAACTTTTAATACGTATACAGATTTAAAATTTTAGCTATGTGTCGCTACTGGAAGGCAATATACATTTGCTGAATTACGTGATGCTACAGCAGCTTTTGCATCATCTCTCCGACATAAATTCTATCTTCAACCACATGATCTAATGGCTATATGTCTCCCAAATGTTCCTGAATATCCAATAGCTGTATTAGGTGCACATGAAGCTGGTTTACTCACTTCTTTAATGAATCCAATGTACAATGCAGGTTTGTTAATTGGCAATGATCTATATATATATACATAAAATTGTTAGATTAAACAAATTGTTCTTTATTTTTTTTAAATTAATTTCTGAAAATTATTCGGAAACGTATACTTGAATTATCGCTTTTGCGATGAAATTCACTCAAAAAACAATTTTTAAAAGATTTTTACTTGAATTTTCATTTTTTCTTTCTTGAAAGCTTTGAGTTATTATAGATTGAAAAGAAAGAAATTTACAAAATGTGCATATTTAACACAAAAATAAATTATTAACATTAATAATTAATTATTAAATTCACTTTATTGTGTCTTATAAAAACCGTCAAAAAAATTACATAAATGTTTAATACAAATAATATAATTGAACCCAAAATATTAATCCGTATTTTAGATGAAATTGCTCGTCAACTAATTATGTGCAACACAAAGTTAATTATATGTACACCATCAAATTACCAAGAAATTAAAAAGGCATGTGAAATTGGAAAGAAAAATATTCCTATTGTTTGCATACCATTTTTAAAAGAACAAAACAACCCCGAAGGTGCTGTGAACTTTTTTGAAATCATAAATTCAAAAAATTTTGAATATATTCAGTCAACGGTTTTAAAACCAGAAGACATTGCTGTGATACCATTTTCGTCTGGCACAACAGGCTTAGCAAAAGGTGTAACTCTTACTCATAAAAATATTGTAAGTAACTGTGAAATGGTACAAACTAAATTACCCACCGAACAATACGTTAGAGAGACAACTGATAATTTTCAAGATGTTATTCCGTGTTTTTTACCGTTCTTTCATATATACGGCTTGACGATATGTATGATGTCAAAACTGCATTTAGGTTGTCAACTAGTGACTTTCCCAAAGTTTACACCACAAGATTTGATAACTTCTTTAACAAAACATAATGGCAGTTTATTAAATCTGGCGCCTCCTGTATGTAAGCTTACAAATTTAAAACTTTAAACTGAAATACATTTATACATGTACATTTTTATATCTTTTTTATTCTTTATCATTCTTTTAGTGTTAATGCTCACCAATTCCCCCAATATTAAATGTGACCATTTTAAATCTTTGAGATTTGTTATGACGGGAGCTGCACCCGTTGGATTAACTGATGCTGAAAGATTTCTGTCTAAGTAAATTTTTCGACTCAACCTCTTTATTATGTAATTAATTTTGTATTTAATATTTTAGATTTCCTAATGTAAGTTTATCGCAAGGATATGGTTTAACTGAAACTTCTCCAGCTGTTATACTTACACCAATAGGCAATACAAAATATGACTCTGTGGGATTTCCACTTCCTAAAACAGAAATTAAAATTATTCCTTATCAGGGTTCGGATTTTAAGGGATTAGAAAAACACAAATCGGGTGAAATATGTATACGTGGTCCACAAGTAATGAAAGGCTATTTAAATAATCCAGAAGCAGATGCAGATATTTTTTTGCCTGATAGTTGGCTAAGAACCGGTGACATTGGACATTATGATGACGAAGGTTTCTTTTTTATAACTGATCGTATAAAAGAATTAATCAAAGTTAAAGGATTTCAAGTGCCACCAGCCGAACTTGAGCAATTATTACGTGATCATCCTAAAATTTTAGACGCTGCTGTTTTTGGAATAACAGATTCGAAAAGTGGTGAGGCTCCTCGTGCTCTTGTTGTTATGAAACCCGGAGAAAATTTAAAAGAAGAAGAGGTTATAAGTTACGTAGCAAAAAAAGTTGCACCTTATAAGCAATTGACTGGAGGTGTGTTATTTGTAAACGAAATACCTAAAAATGCGGGTGGAAAGATATTAAGAAGAGAGCTAAAAGAAAAATATGGACATAAAAAATGAAAAACTATTATACTATTGAATATACATGGAGATTTTTTCCGTATATAAAAATAATCATGTAATTTTTTTAAATAAAATAAGCTATTTACATAAAGGTTTCTTCTTAAATTAATTTAAATTTTAAAACATACATAAAAAAAATCATTTGTGAGAAAATGTATTAAAGCGGCTCACGATAATTTTCAAAAAAAATGTTTGTAAGATCCAATACCACTTTCTGTGGTTCAGCAAATATATTTATTTCATTTTTATCAAACACCTCTAAGTCATTATTTTCGTTTTCGCATTGTGTTTCGGATTCTCCGGTTAAAATTACGATTATATGACAAAATATTCGTCGAACCAAATTGATGTCGTAACCATTAAATTTAATCAATAATTCACTTAATCTTTCAATAAAAATTTTTTGAGCAAATGTTGAAATAATATTTTCTGGAAAAAGAAACACATTGTAGAGAGATTGTTAAAAAAATAATTATTCAAGACAATGAGTAAAAGTTAAGAAAATTTTTAATCAACTTACGATATTTCGAAGAATATTCAGGACAAAATTCAAGGACGAGTTTTGAAATGTTTTCTCGTATGTCAATGTCATCGTCCATCAGAAGGCATAATACTACCGAAGAAAATTCTGATACAAATGTTTCGTCTTTTAGTTTGATATTATCAACGAAAACGTTGAATAAATGCTTCAATATTAGTGATGATGTGAGTCTTGAAAAATATATATATAGAACAGAATTATTCTTAATACTTATAGATATAATTTATAAAATAAAAAAATGCTCATTTGGAAATTTAATAGATTTACCTCAATGAATAGTTATTCCAGGGTTGCGATATACTCTTAACGTATTGCATTATATCAAATTGATTTGTTCTTATACTTGTTTTATTATTTTCCAAAAAGCTGTTCATCACAATAGCAATTGAATTTTGTAGATCAACAGGATATAATTTATTATAACCAATTATTTGTTTTATATCGTATTCTTTTAAAATATTCAAATGACTTAAAATCGCAAAAGTTTTCATTACTGTATTTACATGAAAATTTTCATTTTTTTCTAAAAATTCTTGTATTGTCAATCCTAAAGGAAGACTAGACTTAAAATATAAAGCTGATTCTTTTAAAAATTCATCCGGTAAGGTTGTAACAAAATCTATTTCTGAGTCATGACATTCATATTCGCTAATCAAATCCCCAAATCTTTCTGTATTTTTAAATAAAATCATTAAAATAATGTTTAAGTAAGTTTCTGTTTCTTCGAAACTTAACAAAAATATGTTTTTTCGATTGATTGCATACAGTTGAGTTTCCCAAAAACTTTCAGCATATAATTTTTTATTATTTAAAAACTCAATTTGCAAGTTAAATATACAAAATGTTTTTCTAAAAATTGGATAATATTCGCTATATTTAGGGTTTAAATATGTTGGTGATCTTTTCATAATGCTTAATTGTTCAATAAGATGCAAAGGAATGGTCACTTTACTAAAAATATCAATTTATTAAAAATATATTTGAAGATTATTCTCCATTATAATACATACTTTTTTAGAATCTCAAGAAGTATTTGAAAAACCGTCCGCATAACAACTGGATTAAGGCTGAGTAAGCTTTGATAAGTTAATAAATCCTCAATAATATCACTGATTAAATTGGATTGTAATTGTTTTAGCGGTTTAATTATATACAATATCTAGAATAAAAACTATGTTAATCATAAATCACTGCATGTAAATATGTAGTAAATAGTAAAATTTGTGCCACCTACAATTTAAGTAAAATATTATTAACATTGTTAAAAAAATTTTTATGTAATAATTTTCCCAATATAAATTGCTGTATGCAGTTTATATTTGGATTAAAAGTGTCGATCAAAATAATAATTACCTATCTCCAGTAACTTTCTGGAAAAACAAATCATTTTACATATTTCTGTGAAAGCATTAGTTGAGTCAGCAACAAAACAAGAAAGTTAATTCCGTATTTTCAACCTTTATTGTAAAACCTTGGAACAAAGTCAAACTTAAGCAAAAATTAAATTTGTATTTTTTGCTTCTACTCTTTAAAAAAAAATTTCTTAATTGCCTTGTATTGCGTTTACTTTTAATCAAAAAAAAAAATGTTTGTTATTTAATTTAAAGTTATTTAATGTTCTAGATGGGTCGCACAATTTTTGTAGGTATCACAAATATAAATATTTATGCTCATAAAAATTTTCATCTATTACAATTAGGTAATAATATTTTCAACCTTATGCATTTATTTTACAAATGCTGATAGAGATTATTATAAGGATCATAAAGTTAGCCCATACGAAGATGGTAAGGAATATTTGTTTTTATTTATTTTATTTTTATTCTATAGTATGTATTTCTATTTTTTGAGAGTTTTCACCAGATATTGTAATTGAACTGCCTGACTATGAACCAGTAAAAAATAAGTATCCATCAAAAAAAAATTTGCAAAAAACGCTTCCTATTCAATATTCAAGTCAAGTGGAAAGCTCTACAATATCATCCACTTTAAGCAATATTCGAAATAATGGTGATATTATAACTGATGATAAAAAGTTAATGGAATATATTGACATAGAAGCTCCGGAACCAGAGCGTACAACAATGCCATTTTCAAAAACTTCAACCATCGAAACTAACGCACCTGTGGTTTTAGTAGATAACACCAATTCAAATGAGAATACAAACGTGTTTATAAACAATTTAAAAAATCAGAATGAAAAACCAAAACAAGAAAATTTCGATAAATTTTTCGAAGCAAATAAAATTGAAAATTTAAAACCACATAATGAAATTATTGCAGATACAAAAATAACAAATCTTTCAAATAATTCGACTAAAAAATTTCTAAATTTTAATAATACTGAAAATATTAAAAATATAAGTAACGTGGCAAAACAGAGTAGTTCGAAATTCAAAGATTTATTTCAAAATGAAGAAAAAAGAAGATATAAACGTAATAACTTTAGCGGTTTTGGTCATACTTTTAAAACCTTGCAGAAATTTTTAAATATGAATAAATTTTTAACGGATGTGCTACAGCCTATGGAAAAGCAACTTGAAGCCAAAAGTAAAGCTGAAACTAACAAAATTAGCCTGTACAATTTGATAAAACACCCGAGTGCAATAAAAAAGGATGCTTCTTGGCTCTACAATTCAAAAACAGACAAATCAAAACATAAAGTACAATTAGGGAAAGTGAACACCAAAAGGGCAACTTTGCGCAGCAAAAATGCTTTAGAAAAAATACTTTCTCCAAATAATGAAATGAAGACTGCCAGCTCAAATTCAAACGATACAAAAAAAGACGAAAAACAGGCACAGTTTGAACAGGGGGTAAAAAATTTCAAATTAGCTATGAATATGTTATCAAAAATGGATATGTATTTTGCGGCTATTTTAAAATCTTATTTTGAAAATTTATCAGGTTATGTAGATGAAAATAAAAATTTTTAACCGTTTATTTTTGTACAAATATGCATGAATTACATTTAAAATTACCTGTAATAAAAGGCCTTGAAAGTAGTTTGAATTTAAGCCTTTTTCTTCTGTTAATTTAGTCTGCAATTTAAAATATTGTGAGTTTCATACATTAGAAAGGAAAAAAATTACCTTTAGTGTGCTTAAAATTGTATATATTTGTTCTTCCACAAAATCTATTGACACAAAAGCAGCCACTGCTTTTGCAATTAATACCCTTGTTTGTAATTCTCTACTTGCAGAACAAGGTGAAATCAATGAAATAAACATTGAAATCTGAAAGTTGAGACCTCACTTTAAATCAATACATATAAAGAATTAAAGCAATTGAATTTAATACAAAAAATCTGTATTATTAACCTTAAAATGACATTCAGTTCCCTCTAGCGCTGACGGATATAACCTGCTTAAAATCAGCAATAGCGGGTGCAATTTATTAGATTTTTCATTGTTTTCAATTTTTATTTTTGCTTCTTTTAATTCAGTTAAAAAATAGTCATACAGTTTTGGATACCGCAAAAAGAAAATTCTACCAGTCATTTTATTTCGAATACTTAAATTGTCCGCCCCTTTTGTCCTTTGTACACCAAAAATTCTAACTGTTAAGGCTGCAAATAAAAGGGTAGAAGAGTTCCTTTCCGACCACGTATTCCCATCATAGCCTTGGATCGCGCAAATAATTCCATCGGCAATATATTCGTTGCAAACTTCATTAAGTTCAGTACATCGAAATAGCGCCCTCAAGATATTAAGACTATGAGTCTTCGACTCTGGGCTATAGCTTTTATTATAACAAATTTCAAAAAGAAATTTCATACATTTCTTTAAAGCTTTAGTAGTACCAACTTGAAGTTCTGATGTTATTAAAGCTTGTACCATAAATGGAATACCTGCACTGCGCCGTGTTGCACATATTTTTTCATTAATTTTTTCATCTTTTGATATTATATCAATTAATTCGTCTATCCACTGCATAGGTAACTCATTTAACTCCTCCTGATCAGTTCGCCAAAGTTTTGAACACAATTTTGTAAACCCCACGTAAGCTTGTTCGAAAGCACCGCGGTGTTTTGTTTCTGATAGTAAAAGTTTAAAATGATCCCCAATTTCTAAAATCTGATCGTGTGCAAGTAAGTAATTTACACTATTATCATTTTTTTTCTTGATAGTTGATCGTAAAGATAAATCACCTAAAATTAAAGATACTTCTTTTACAGTTCTCCAGGCACAAACCAGTACCATTTGAGGATTGGGTTTCGGAATATCTATTACAGTGCAAATGTTAAAACGGTTAAAACTGTTGATTTTATTTATGGTCCCCGTAGTGTATTCTTCATTACAAATTTTTGAAAATTCATTAAAATCATGCGGAAAATAGCCTTCAGGTGAGGAGCTATTTACAATTGGTGCGACAATATTCGAAGCTTGCTTATTTACTATAATAACATCATTTATAAAAACACGCCAAATATCTTCTTTACAAAGCTCGTCAAAGTCTAATCGCGACAAAATTTGTCTAATTGTTAGCAAACATCCATAAAACGGATTTGATATTACTGCCAGTAGAATTGATTTTTTTCCAATAATAATACCAGATTGTAATATATTCAGTACCATTTTTAGTGCACAGAATTTAACTGGCTCATAGAGAGGAAAAATTAAATTTTGTTCAATATCAAAAAATTTCACAAACTCTTCAATTGTGTACAAATAACAATAAAATTCTAGATAGTAAGTCGCAGTTACAGAATCGGTTGGCTTAATGCTTACGAGTAAATCTGTAAGCAAAGTTTGATGTCCAATAAATCGACCATATTTCATATCTACGAAAATTTTTAGGATGTCCAATGCAAGAACCTTGATATGTTCATATGAATCACTCAAACATGAAAAAACCAGATTTAAAGTATTTTCTGGCAAAAAATTGTTTAATTTCAAGTCAGTGTTTTGGATAATTATCAAGGTTATTTTTAAAATTTCTAAAGAAACCAATCTTCTGCTAAAATTCGATCCTTCAAATAAATTTTGACATAAGAAATCTAGCAAATTCCTCAAAAATTTAAAATAATAATGAAGATTTCTAAACTCTTTCTCATGTCTTCCCATTTTAATCACCTTTTTCAAGTTTATATCAAATCTTGTTAAAATTTTAGCTGACAATCCAAGTAACTTTTGTCTCTTTTCAGGATTTTGGCTATTTGAATGATACCTTAAGCAAATTAGTAAACTATCGCATTCTATTTCAGTTAATTCTTCGGTACTTTTGTGACTTTCCGCAATTAGTCTCAAAGCTGATATTATTGTATCATCCGAACTTAATAAGAATGTTTCTTTCAAATCTGGAATATTTTGCAATAGAGCATTAAAACAATCTGATTTTATCCCATTTTTGCGTACAGTGCACAAAACAGAAAGTTTTATATTAAGTTCTAAATCTCCAAGATCATCTTTTAATAAGCATTCAGCCAAATCTGGTGCAAGTTTAATGGATTTCTCTAACAGGCTTTGATATATATTTTTATGATCCTCATTAACTGTATTAATGGCTTTGATTAGGAAGTTTATATAAATACTTTTCCACTTTGGTAAATCCATTTCAAAATAGCTTTTTTGTATTAAACTTTCGAAACAATTTGCAACTTTTGAATCTCTTTCAAAATTCTCTGTGGTAAAAAAATCATCTAATATATTTTTATATTTTTCTTCAACAATTTGGCGTGTTCCGAAAACTTTGGCTAAATTAGAAATTAATATACATTTTACAGATAATGATACATCATCTTGTATTATAAACATGTAAATCTTATTGACCAGTTCATTCAGCTCATACTTAGCAGATATGTTAAGAACGTTTCTCAATAAATCCTTTGTCATGTGGCGAATATTTTCTAAGTTATGATCAAAATAGGAAAATGAATAATTAAATAGTGATTGACAACAAAGTGTAATTTCATTTAATTTCCATCCCAGACTAAAATTTTGTAAAGTTTTGGAAAACTGAACTAAACAACGTGTACCAGTTAAAATCATACAGGATTCTGAAGAATATTTATTAGCAATTAGGATGATTTTTTCAACAATTTCATATATCTTATTGAACTTTTTCTCCAAGTTTACTGACTTTAAAGTGTTTAAAATTCCAACCGAAGTGCATAATTGAAAACAATTATTTGTGTATTCTTCAGAATATAAAGGCTTGTAATTAATAATTTCATCTAGCCAATTGTCATATTTTTGAACCGCCTGCGAAATATAACTCAACAGAATACCAATATTTGCTTTAATATCCATTGGTATGTAAACATCACTAAACATATCAATGTTCGTAGTTCGTATGGTGTAAATGATTTTAATTATTGATAAATTGCGAAGATGCTCTAAAAATTCCTGGAAACATAACAACATCACTCTTATGGAATTATGCACAAAGAGGTACAACTCATTTTTAGCAGATGGCGAATTTATTGATCTACAAAAGTGGGTTTTAAGCTTTTGTTGCTCGATAAAAATAATTTATTACCTACTGAATACTTTTTAAATATTTATGTAGTGAGTGATGAATCAAATTAAGAAATCGTACAGCATGTTTTTCAAGAACATTTCTCAGATTTCGGAAATCTTCAAAACCTCCACTGAGAGAAGTTACACAGAAATTTATATATTCACATGGCAATGTTTCACAATTATCATGATCAGCAATCTTGTTGTAAATAAATGAATCAAGTTTTAAGGTCATTTCTTCTTTATTTGAATGGTCTTTAATTAACCTTAAAAAACAAGTTATCGATTTAATATTATTTATTATTTTAACTAAAATTATACTTACTTATAGCATTGGGATCTTACCGGATGTTTTAAGGGGCTATTGAAATAAATTTGAATCAAAAATTCAAGTTTGTCGTCTGAAGTACTTTCACGGGAAAGGCTAATTTCTTTAACAACATATATTTGCTTAGCTATGGTGTCTGCCTCCAAAAACTTCTTCAAAATATCATTCGAAACTACAAAAAATAATTTTGAAGTAATTATTTTTACACAAATGATCTTAAAATTATTTCACTTTTACTATTAATCGGCTCTGGGAGGACGACAATATGTTTACGTGTTTCGGCGTTCTTGATAACATTTTCTGTCGTCTTTGTAGTTGAAACTCTTAAGTTTAAGGAATTCATTACAGAAAAATTAATAACATTAAATCTTTGTAAAAATTAATAAAATGTTAGAGAACCAAAAAGGAAACAAATAAAAAAATATTTTTGAGGTTAGTGTAATGTAAACATCAGCACTATCAAATCAGCGAAGGAGCAGAAATGCGTTGCCGTTTAACTGAAAGAATATACAGTTTCGCATTTGAATTATTAAGATGCCATTTACACATAAAACTAAATTTACGGTTTAAAAAAATCTAACAAACTTTTACACATGAGACTCATGTTGTACCCTTAAGTCAAATTTTAGAAAACCATACTTTAAATACTTGCAATTTATCACTTAAAACATGGAATTAAAAAAGCGAAACTCGGCTTCAAAGCAAAATTTTTGAAAAAATCGAATTTGTGCTATATTATTTTCGTTTCAATTACATGTTATATTACTATATGCGTAGTTTGTGAAAAAACAGTATTTTTCTGTATATGAGTAAAATATAACCTTAACTTTTTGCAGAATCATTTTTTCACATCCTTTCTCTTTTTTATTATTCAAATGTCAATTATTCAATTTATTTTGAAAATGTCAATTTAATAAAAAGTGACATTTCAAATTTGAAAATTAAAAGCTAAAATAACTCTGAAAACACACAATCCATCAATTATAAACACATTGTAAATCAAAAATATTATTTCCAAATATGTCGGAAAAGAAAAAACCTAACTGCAGAGATTCTATGCATTTGTTCGAAGCTGCGCTCACTCATGAATAGATTAAACGTGATAAAAAGAACGCAAATCTTGTTTTTTGAAATTTTTCCATTTCTTCAAAATAAATCATAATCTTTGTAAAGTTGTAAATAGAACAAAACCGATTTTCCGCGGCGAAATGTCAGAATGTATATAAAATACACATAAATCAATAAAACTGCTCAGAATCAAGCGAAATTAGCGCCGCAAATCTTACCGTCGGCGATGAAAGGTCTAAAGTCTAATTTTAGCACTGGCGATTTTTTTTTTGACATTATCTGTTTCCATATGTGTGCTACATTATATGCAATCATATTTTTATAGGAAATGACTTGCAACCGTTTGGCTGACGGTCACTTCCCATAAAAATATCATTCATCTCATTAAAATTAAACGGCTAAGTGACTAACCAAATAAACGATTGATGGTCATTTCCCATAAATATATTATTCAGCCCATTAAAATTAAACGGCTGAATCTTATTTTTGCGGGAAGTGACCGTCAACCGTTTGTTTCGTCCAATTTTATTACAGTAAAAATATTTACAAAACAAAAAAACGATATTTAGGAATTTTGTAAATTATTACGAAGTAGAATTCAACTTCAAAAGACAAAATGGACTTCGATTATATTTTGATAATCTTGTAATTTTAAAATATTTTTTATTTATTTTTAGATTTTAAAAGTTATATTTTTTTATCTGGATGAATAAATATTTAGATTGGATAAAATTAATAAGCCCTAAAATTCTATTTTTTAATGAAAGTGAGAAAGAGTAAAACACATTTTTTATTTATTGTAATTTTGAACATGAACAAATCATTTTCTAATTAAACAGTTTAGAAAAAGTTACTTTTGTTAAGAAAGAATAAGAATACAAATAGCCTTACAAATAGTACTAAAAGTAATATTTTAGTACTATTTGTAAGGCGCAGTTACGAATCTGAGTTTCGATAACTCCATATCCCGTATTCGTAAGTAAACCCAAAAGGTTGCAAGTTAACCGATTATTATATGTACATACAAAGTGGAATGCTTCTGCTGCTTGTGATATTTAGTACAAATTTTAATTCTGGTTTTTAAAATAATGAAAAACTTTGAAAAGAAACTGGATAACTTTTGTAGAATATCAGGGCTCGAAAGTCGGAGTTCACTATGGGATGATTTTTTATTTTTCACCATATCTAAGAAACTAATCATTGGAATTTCTTGAAATTCAACATATTACATGCATACGTGAATATACCCTTTATTAAATTCCTGATTGCGAACCAAACTAAGTGGAAATAAAATCGGACCATAAAAACTGAACTTCTAAGGACAAAATTTAATATATATATTAATGATAAAATATGTATTAAAGATATATATTAATGATATGTATAATAAAATTTATATATTATGTATGTAAGTATATTAACTAAAAGTTTACGGCGTTGTTTTCATAGAATTTCAAATGTAGTTTAAAGTTTGTTTTTATCTTGTAAGTATAGATAGTATATGTACCTAGTAATATAGATTCAAAAGGAAATAGGATCATAAAAAATAATTTTACTACGACTTTCTTTATTCCATTTTCTAAGTACAGCAAACTTAGCCCAATAGGGTGACAGTACTTTTATAATCGGGCTTAAACAATTGTTAAGTATGTTTTTATCTATTTTTTGTAACTAACCCAGCAGGGCCAGATCCTACTCTTATATTTGTTGTAGTTCGCAGAGGCTGGAAGCCAAGTTCTTCTTGTGGTATTCCATATTGTTGCAATTTCCTTTCGTAAGTAGCTAACAAATCATCATGAGCTTTACAAACACGGGCTAATTCATATTTCAAATCGTCTATGGTTTCTTGTTTTGCTTTTAACAAATCGTCGATTCTAGCAGAAACTTTAGATGGTTCCATTCCAGATGCCGCAATAGCTTCAGATCTGTGAATAATATTTAAATAGATCACATTTTTAAATATAAAATAAGACTATTATCGGAAACATGATTTGCAAAAGCGGTTGACTAAATTTTTGTGAAAATTGCAAAGTTAAAATTTATTAAGCTTTTAATTTAGCTATTAAATTAAATAGTTAAATTTAAAGCTAAGCAATTTTTGTAAACAACATTTTCGATTATATGTTAAATTAAATCAAATTTATATGCTATTTTAGTTTTTATGTAATTTTAAACTTATACATTTTAGCCTTTTCCGTATATATACCACATTTAATATTTGTGAAAAAAAAAATTTTTTTAAGTATAAATTACAATATATAGTTACGTACAATAATGCCTCTCTAGCTTCAGCTTCTTTTTCTAAAAGTGTGATTTTGCGTTCTAGAAGAACGTTTTTTAATCCAGTTTTTTGTTGTAGTTCCATTAATGCTTCTTCAAATTTATTTTTCAAGTGTTCGCGTTCTTCCACTAAAACTTCGTTTCGCATTAGAATAACGTCGCTTTCCCATTTCAAATTTGTAACGTGCTTTTCGGCGCTAGAATGACGTTTCTTTAAACGAGCTAATTGTTTTTGGTCACGTCCATAATTTAGAAGTTTGCGACGTAGCTCAATTAATTCGGCTTGTGCCTCTGCAAGTGGTTCTGTTAAACGTTTATTTTCGATAATAGTTTCATTTGCGACTCGCTCATTTCTTTCAGATTGTTTTCGAAGCTCTTCCATTTGTTCTTTAAGGGTAGTAATTAGGGCTAAATTATTTACTGTTATATCATTATAATAGCTTTTTAATTCGTTGAAAGAACTTTCGTGTGACTCGATTAGTTTACTGATTTGAGTATTTTTACGCTCCTCTACTTCAGACATTTCCATACGGTTTTTAATTCCAAGTTCTTCGGCTTGCTGCTTTAATTTTTGTTCATGTAATGCCGTAAGATCTTCAGCCTCTTTTTCATAACGCTCCTGTTGCTCCCTAAAGATTTAAAATTTACTTATTACAATATTTCAGAATCTTATGAACATAATACTATGAAGAAATGAATACAATATACAGGAATGTAAGATTTTGATAAGTGAAATACATAATTTTTTATCTATCTAAATATTTTACAATAATAAGCAATTTTAAACAGGTTAATAAAATTCCGTCGTTGGGCTGGGTTTAAATTAAAATTAAGAACCATTGGGTTTATTCTGATATTTGCCGTAAAAGTTTCAAAAAGTTTATTATAGAAACGAGTCATTTGTATGAATTGGTTGGTGCTTACAATAATAATATCGAACATCCACGATAATTATCACTATCACTTTTGGGGTTATTCAAAATTTACCATTCCATTTGTAACGGTGAGAAATAGTTTTGTAATCAGAAGCGTTACGCGCCGAATAATAAGTTCATTACTAGTTCAGAAGCTAACTGTTTTAACAAAACAGAAACTATAATAGTTTAATATATCATTTAATAATTTAAATTTGAAATCAAATCGGCTTCCAAAGTTCTTTAAATCACATGCATTTAAGATAAATCACATACATTTAGATTTAAAATTCTTTAAATCGCATGCATTAACATTGATGTACCTTATCATTTCGCTGTGCTTCATTTTTAGTTCTTGAATTTGCAATTCCGTAATTTCCTCTTTCTCTCTCAGTAGGCGCTTGAGTTCCCTTATATCTTTTAAAAGTTCTTGTTCTCTTTTATCGTGCTCTTCCTGAGCTATTTTTAATTGTGTCATGGCTTCGGCACGTAACTCACAGATTTTGGATTGATTTTCATATTGTAAATGTTTCATTTGTTGCGTTACATTTTTAATGTCTATGTCAGCTAATTCTTGTGCCATCTCAACTTCTCTATTTTTATTACGAATTGTAGCTTGAGCTTCCTCTGTTTAAAATATTGTAAACGGTAATATTCAATTTCAATATTATTTAAAAAAGTACAGGAGCAAAAAAAAACAAACCTACCTAATTGGTCTCTTGTAATTTCCCAAAATGTTCTTAATTTATCTCGTTCCAACTGAAAGAAATTTCGTTCTTCTCGTTCTCGATCCATTTCTGCTTTGAGGCGATGTGCAAATCCTTCAAGTTGCTCTCGACTCATAGCTGATGTATTCACCCCATCGATTAGAACTACATAATATATGAAGAAAATTTATAAAGTATAACTAAATGTTTAGAATTTAAAAAAAAAACTTTATTACATACCGGGTCCTTTTTTTCCTTTCTTTTTCGGCGGCTGAAAACATTTCGACAAAAAAAAGATTATACAGCAGATTCATTGAATGTGGGATATGTTAACAATTTAAAACTTAAATTATTTGCTAAGAAAATTAATCACATATGATTAATTTTCTCAACTGGCTTATATAATATCATAATTGCTTTATTTACTGCAATTCAGTTAAGTCCGCTAAATATGCAAAATTAAATACGTGCAACAAATCCTGTGAAACTTACCATGTTTATTAAATTTTCTTATATATGGATATATGTTATGTATTCAATTTATGTATATGTATGTATGTAATTTTAAATTAAAATTAACAAAAGCTAAAATTTTTATAATTTTTTTGAATATTATTGCTACGACTAAAAAATTTTTTTAATGTTCTGAAATATTTTGAAAGAACTCAAATATATTTTTTATTAATTATTTATTTATTCTAAACAATTTCAACATTGATTTTAAGTTGCTTAGGAATTTGAACAAAATTCAAGAAAAATTATTACATATATGTAACATTCTGTTGATATGGTAATAGAATGTACAGAATTTGAGAATTCGGAACTGTGTAAATATTTTAATGTTCAATTTAAATATCGATTTTTCTTAAATTAATGAACGGCTTAATTATTCAGCTTTGCAAAGAACATTTTAGTAAATAAAATATTTTGAAATTTTCAAAGGAAGCTACCAAAACAGCAGCAAAAATAAAAAGCGAATTGTAACCAATGTAAGAAGGAGTTTCGGAATTTTTGATATATGCTAAATCGAATGATTTTTTTATTTATTTATTCAAAATATAAAAATGAGAATAGTATGAAACGCGAATGTACAGCACATATAATATGTACGTGTGTATAGATCGAGCAAAACAAAAAAAAATTATTCGAATAATATTGAAAAATATATGTATATGTTATGTTTATGCATATTATGTATAATCGAAATTAGAAAAGTTGGTTCAAACCAATTATTTGCAAAGTAACACTTTTCCCTTCAACAAGTAATAAAGATGGGTAATACCAATGGTTGGTAATGTAGGACTTTTCCCTCCAAAATATTACTTTAAAGAATAATCTATGTACCTACTACATTATTAAAATAACTTTTAAATTAGTTATTTAAATAAATTAAATTAAAAAAATATGAGGTGCTAAAAATTCTCATTGTACAAATTTAGAAAGGCGATAATTTGAGACTGGGTGGAGCTGGAAAAAAATTTCTTCTCTGGAAATAAACTGTTTATGGGTATATAAGAATAAAGTTGGATCAAACCAATGGTTTGAATTGTAGCACTTTTCTCTTCAACAATTAAAAATACTCCTTTTAAAAACAATCTGTGTATACCCACCACACCATTAAAATTATTTTCATTCTAGTACGAAACTATTTCATTAAGGATTGCATAGATTCAGGATGAACGATTTATGCAGTCTTTGAAATAAAGCAAAAATTAAGATAAAGAGGGATTAACATAATGCTCAATTTTAAGGGTTAATTGCGTGAGTTAAGAAAAATAATTATATTTTTTAATGTCATGGAATTTACCATTAGCTATTTGCGTTTATAAAAATTTGAAAAAACTTGCAGTTTCAGAAATATAAGGCGTCAAAAATTCAATTTTTACAAATTTCGAGAGGCGATAACTTGAGAGGGGGCGGAGATGAGAAAAAATTTTCTTCTAACGAAATAAACTATTTATTAGTGTGTAAAAGGTGTTAAAGATTCCCACAATGTACGGTGTGGAAGAAAAATGGTATCAAAAATTTGGAAAAAACGAAATTTAGATAACGGTAAATTTTAGCGGTCTTTTTGTTTTTTTAAAGTTTAAATATAGTATTCTGTGGTAAAAGAAGCCAGTCGTTATATTTTTGAGTTTGCAAAATTTAAAAAATGCTTATGGTTTCATTGCAACAATTAATATTTAAAAAAGGCCATTTTTAGGGTTTTGGGGGCATAACTTCAAGAGGGGGGGAGATAGGTAAAAATTTTGTTCAACGGAAATAAGTTTCTAGTAAAGATCTATGTACATATAAAATTTCAGCTTTCTACCTTCAAGGGGGTAGAGGTTTTCTAAACAGACACACGGACAGACGGACAGACGGACGGACGGATGAATGGACGGATGGACGGACGGACGGACGGACGGACGGACGGACAGACGGACAGAGTGAAACTAATAAGCACTTTTTTTCAAAATTTTTTTGGAAAAGTGCTAAAAATGATATTAAAAGTTTAAGAAAAAAGGGATTTTTGATAACGGTAAATTTCAACAGCCATTTCATTGTTTTTTTAAAATTGAACTATACCAGGGATGGCAAATAGGGTTTGATCAAAGTGCCAAAATTTGGGGAAATTTATTGTCACACTTTTTCCCGTGCCAGCACAGTACCAAGTACAGGTATGGTTAGGTAAATACAATATTATGACAAGTTGTAATAATATTTATTTATACATATTATAGTTCAAGGTATAAAAATTAATAAATACAGATAGAAAAAATATTAATTTAATTTTTTATCAGAAACTTTTTGTTTCATATTACTTGCAAGAGTTTTTATGTCGGGCTGGTACATTGTTGACTGCAGAGTAATACATGCTGCCGAATCTTCCTCTGTTAATCTGTTTCTAGTCTTTGAATGTACATGATTCAAAACGGAAAAAAGACTTTCGCAAGAGTAAGTGGAAGAGAAAATCGTTAACAACGAGATTGCTAATTTTTTGACTGAATAAAAGGTATCTGGCATACTATTCCAAGCTTCTAAAATTTTACTTTCCATGAAACATTCTGATTCCACATTTTGGGATCGATGGCTTTCTAAATCTTCAACAAGCTTCCGCATATTCACAAATTTATTTACCCAAATTGGATTGGATTGCAGATCAATAATTTGCATTTCTAAATTATCTAATCGCATCCAATTAAGGAGGTTATTGTCACAATCTTGCATATCAAATAAATCTGGGTAATTAATAATTTTTAAAATATTTTCGATCCTTTTAAAATCGAGAAATCTTTGTGCAAACTGTTGCTTAATAGAAACAAGAATATTTGGAAATTCATAGGTGAAATTCCAATTAGTTTTTTCAAAAATGTGTATTTCATCAAAAAAAACAAAAATAAAAAGAATATAACATTTGAATATGTTTGGTTTTGAATATTTGTCATTTCGCTATTAGGAAATTATCATTTTTAGGAAATTTTTCATTCAATCAATTTTTCAACGAGTTTTTAGATTTTTTATTAGAAAAAAAATCTATATAAAAATTTGTCGAGGCACAACTATAACGTGCCATCAAATTTTTTTTCCGTGCCAAGTTTGGCACGCGTGCCCTTTAATTGCCATCCATGAACTATACTATGCGTATGCCGCGGTAGATAATTTTTCTGCGTTTGCAATGTTTAAAAAATGTTGGTCGTTTCGTTACAATAAAAAGGCAAAAACGGCATTTTTAGGACTTTGAGAAGTTAGAGATCTTTTTCTGGGGAAATCTTAAGGGGTGTATGAGTTTTGTAAACCGACGCATGGACAGGCGGACGGACTTATAGAGTGATATTAATAAACACTTTTGTCCAAAATTTTTTTTAAAAAAGTGCTAAAAATTACTTTTAAAGATAAATGTACTTGTATTTATTATTAAATCAAAAAATGAACAACTTCTCTGTCTATTTATATTATTTCTTCTATTATTCTACTTCAAAAGGTAGGTAAATAACATAATGTAGGTACACATTTCACATGTTCGAACATACATTTTTAAATATGAAGGGAAATATTTTTGATAAAATATCACTGATATAATTAAAAGATAAATTGAACACAATTTTTCTTTTAATATATTGATTATGAACTAGAAAGAAATCCGTAAAGGAACGTTTATCATAAAAGAAAAATATTCAAAATTAGTTTTGATAAGATCGCACTTAATATTTTCTTCATTTTTCCACATTTTTTTTTCAGGTTGATTTTGGTTCGAAAGCATTTCAAAAAACTTAATAAGTTATAATTCATCCTCAATGAATGAAGTTTAAATATTTTTGATTTTTTTAGCTAAATCTTTTCTAAAAAAAAAATGTCGGAAAACGGAGATACAAACTCTATACATTTATCACCAGAAAATATTTCGCCACCAATTGAATTATCGAAAAAATTGTCAACTGAATCTACTACACAAACCTTAAAGAGTGATTCAACATTTAAACTACCGGACGGATCTTCAGGAAATTATAATTCAACGAAATTTTATTTAAAAAATTATAGACAAGTTCTTTCTTTATTACCGGGTAAGTTATAATTTTTGAAATAAATTTCACAAACAATTATATAAGCTTTCTAAAGTGACCTAGAATGATAAAAAGTCTAACATGTTCATTTAATCAATTAAATAAAATTTTATATCAAAAATACTTATACCATAAGTACAAAAAAAAAAATAGTTCCTTAACTTTTGAATGAGAAATGTTAAAAATTATGAATTTATAATAAATTTGTTAAACTTAGCTTGATATTTTCATTATAATAAATTGGTTCATATTAAAAATATATTAGAACACATCTTTTTATAAATTCTAATGAAACATATCAGTGTACAAGCATGAAAACATTCAAAATATTACTCGAATATTTTAAGTACGAGTATATCTACATTCATGCCTAAAAAATAAAAGCACGATAAAAATTGAACTCGTGGTAACGCTATACTGTCTAGATTAAAACCTTAAATGATACCTTCTAAAAACCAAGTTATGTTTAATGATCTCTTTAATATTATACTTTTTTTAAATATAATATCAAAAAAGTAAATATTTTCCTTAAAAAATTTATAAAATTAAAAAGAAAACCATAACTAAATTATTTTATTTTCATTTAAAACAGCATGGTTTCAATTTTTAGCTGTTGGCTTAATTACATTCAAAGTTCAGTATACTCCGGTTGCTATTATGTATTCAAAATGGGAAGCTTATACTTTTCAAAGTGTATTTTATATAGGAATCATAATTGGAGTCATAC